GGATGGATGGATGGATGGATGGATGGATGGATGGATGGACAAACAAAACAACAAAAACTTTTTCTCCAATGTCCTAAATAAAACAGAGACAACTGCCGTTAAAATGCATCATTTTGATGCTACTTTTGCATTTGAATACTTTGTAGTATTGGCTTTAAATCTGGACAATATAACATAAAGGCATAAGGAATTTAAAGTTATAAGCTTGAGTTTTTGTCACAACTTGTGGGTGTGGCTACAGCTCCATCTTTGACTTCATTCATTTATTTCCAATTTGACTTTAACATTTGTCTAAAAGCAGATGACAAAATTATGTTTATGGATATTTATTTTAAAATTGCAACACTGACTGGTACATGACAATCGTGCAAAAATTTCTCCATGATTACAGGTTTTATTTTCATATACGTTTTGTTCACAAAAGTCTAAACTAAATTTCAGTAAAAAAAAAAAGAAAATCTGAGTGTCAACTCTTCTCAGAACCAACTCAGTGAGCAATAACCTAATTTCGAATGTTTTCTAGGAGATTATTTAACGAGTTGAACACAGCTCATCACCTTAGGCAGTCGATGTAAGAAACGCACGGCTTCTTCAAAAGGGTCCAGGTTGATGTGTTTGACTTTAGCAGGGTTGTCACTGATCACAGTAACAGAAAGAACTACGAAGCCTTTGTTGGCCAGCAGACAGGCTCTTTTCTCAGAGTTCAAGGTGGACAAATCTAACACAGCAGGAAATGGACCGTCTCCTGAAACACAATGATGAACAAATAAAAACAATCTTTTATAAATCTGTCACTTAAGAACTCTGAAGACATACATTTCAATTTTGTGTTAATATACGGTAAAAAAAAAACAATTCTGCTAGTTATTTTCTTCTAATTTGTTTTGAGTATGTTTAGCAGGATGCTAACTGTGGTGTATGAAAGATGAAAACTCAGGCAGAAATTATTGATCCTGCCCATCATCTAACTTAGCTCTGCATCCATATCAGTTTATTTCCAAATTGTGGCAAAATGGAGAAGGGAATGTATTATGGTGCAAAACTAATGAATGGGTTAATGTCAGATTCATCATGCAAAAACACTTCAATAATCAGTCTCCAAATATATTTCTTCAAATAACTCAGGCAAGTCGATTTTCATCACATTCTACCATTTTAAGGACTTATGAATCTAACAGTTCAGAATGTGTTCCTTATGTAAACAGTAAGTTGAAATTTGGATCTCAAAAAGAATCCCACCATATCTTTCAGTAGACCTTGTGATTGTTTCATTGGCATTAAAGTCAAAAGGCTTCAAAATGTCAAGATATTTGTTCAGATATGACCAAAAGTCTCCAGCAGTTTTATTGTTGAGTGGTGGGAAATATTGACACGTTCCTGTATCAAAGCAAACTTCAGCTGTACGTTTATAAGAGGCAGAATAATTCAGAAAACTTATTACACTGGAACTCAATGTACGCCTCTCTTTTTGTGTCTTCAGTCATGTTGTTCAGCCGTGAGGTAAAATGTTTGATCAAAATGTTCAATGCTCCATATCTGACCTGCTTTTAATGTCTACTGTGTTGTTTTGAATGGGCAATATATTCTGAACTGATAACTCACAGTAGTAAACATGTTGTGAACCACAACAGACCTGCAGATAATCCATGATCATACCTGGAGGAGTAAACAGGACTCCATGAACATTCCCTTCTTCGACAGGAACTCGGCTGACCCCATGTCCAATCAGAAGCCTCTCATTTGTCGCCTTTGCAAGCATCCTGCCGTTCCCCTCATAGACAGAGAAGTTCACCACGAAAGGTTCGAACACTTTCTCCTTATAGAAGTATTTGTGGGCAGTGTCTGCCTTCAGTGACCTCAGTAAACCCATGGGTTCAACTCCAACATAGCTCATACTGAGTGAGGGATCTCTGTTCAGGTCAATCTCACCGTTACCATCAGCCATGAAGGTTGCTGAAGAGCTGAACTCTACTCCTTTCTCATCAGAGGATCTGGCTCTCATGGTGACCACCTGCCTGGACCTCAGCCCAGACACCTTCACCTGAACAGGCTCATCGAAAAAGCACCTGGCGCTCGGCAGCAGTCTCAGTCTGACTTGGTGAGACATCTCTCTCTCTGTGTCCTGTACAAGAATAAATCAAATGATTTTGCAAGTGGCAGAGAGCAGAGATCATGACATGCTGTGCTCTTTTACAGCGTTTAGAGTTTAGAAACATTGTTTAGAAACATTGTTTAGAATATTGTCCTCGGAGGCCATCTTAGCACCAGCAAACTGGTTTTTCCCACTATGGCGTATGCCGTTTGTGGGAATTAGGTTTGTTTGTTGGTGGCTCCCCAGATCGAAGAAGTCCTTTGGATGAAGGACAAAACGTCACAGAAAAAAAAACAAAAAAGAAAAAACACACGTCCAGATGACCTGACTAAACATTATTGGGTTAGAAAATAAACGTCTCAGTTTCTCTGATACTCCCGCAACATACAGAATGACTCAGACCCAGACCAGTGGTCATTCCATGTGTTACTGGAGTATCAGAGAAACTGAGACGTTTATTTTCTAAACACAACATCCCAGTGGCTTTTAAACCCCAAAATTCATTTTTGGCAAAGACTGGTTCATCCCAAAGATCCAGTCCCCCGGCACAAACAGAGTAATGTTGTGTATGCTGTTCAGTGTCAGGAGGGTGATCAGTCTTACATCGGGGAAACTAAACAGCCACTGGCCAAAAGGATGGCCCAGCACAGAAGATCAACATCATCAGGCCAGCGGTCACTCTTTCAGGGATGAAGATGTTCACATCCTTGACAGAGAGGAACGATGGTTTGAGAAGAGAAAAGGAGGCCATCTTTGTGAAAAGAAATCGTCCATCGGTAAACAGGGGTGGAGGCCTCGGGTTCAACTGTCCCCCTCTTACAATGCTGTTACTGCTAGTATCACTCAACCCCCTGTGAATAGTAAACAGCCATCAGTGTGCTAATCAGAATCAGAATAAACTATATTGGAACTGCACAGAGGTACATTGCGAATATGTACGTACAGTCGTCCGAAAGATGGGCGGAGTGCACAAAGCTGCAACTGTAGAAAGCGCTGCCTTTTTATCCTTATCAGATAATAATCTTAGTTAGGAAAAGGGGGAGAAACGGGATGGGGGGTGCGATAGATAACTTTTGTCCTTGGGTACTCATGTCCCAGGAGAAATTTGATAGTCAGCCTGTGTCCGAGGCCGTCGGGAGTCAGATTTAGACAATCTTGATTCTTGTTTTTCTTCAGGCAGACAGATTATTTTTTCCAGCCTCGAGTCCATCTGGGCGTTCTGGTTCCGAAAATGCCTAATTCTGGGATTCCATTCCACTGATCCATGCTATGAGTCTCCTTCAAGGTCGAACCCACCACGCTAACGAGTCCCAGAAGCCACAGGTGGCCTGTGATTCTCATAAATTGCCTCCACCTTACGGTTAAGCTCGTAAACCAGACGATTTAAAGTTCCCACAGCGTGGACCAAACCTTCACATTGACTCGGAAGCTTTTCTCCACCATGGGGAGCAAGTCCTTCACCTGCTCTGCCCCTCACCTCTGAACACCACCTCTCTTTCTCTGTTCAAGGCTGCTCTTTAGACTCGATGGCCTCAAGATTCCTGCTCTACTATTTGCGGATGATGTGGTCCTGTTGATGTCATCGTGCTGGGATCTTCAGTTCTCACTTGAGCGGTTCGCAGCCGAGTCCAACGCAGCTGGGATGAGAATCAGCACCTCCTCTCTTTGGGTCAAGGGTGAAGTTCTGCCTCAAGGGGAGGAGTTCAAGTATCTTGAGGATTTGTTCACGAGTGTGAGATTGACAGACGAATTGGTGCTGCATCTGCAGTATTATGGACTCTGTGATGGTCCGTTGTGGTGAAGAGGGAGCCGAGCTGTAAGGCAAGGTTCTACTCCGGGAGAGACTCCTGAGTAGAACCGCTGCTCCTCCACATCGAAAGGAGCCAGTTGAGGTGGTTCGGGACGGTGAAATGGAGCTGAAAATAATCTGAAATAGTCAAATAAGCTGAAAAAGCAAAACCAGAACAAAAAGGTTAAAGAAAAAGAATTGAAACAGCAAAATGGTATTTAAGCTGTGAAGGGAAATCCATTCATTTTCAAAGAAACAAAACATGGCCCCAAAAAAAAAAAAATTTAATATCTAAAAGCATAAATTGCACAAATATCAAAAGTTAAAGCCGTTGTAAAGAACCACCTAACAGTTGGACCAAAATCACCACACTAAAAAAAGTCTAAATTAAATAATATTTATTTTCAAGGTGACGCGTCGCCGATTGGATCGGTTCAGGTGCTGGTTCCGGAATGAGTCTATGAGGCAGAGATCATTTAGTGGTCGTGCAGGAGAACATGGAGCAAAAGTCAGAATGAGGAGGACCACTAACCGTCTCAGATGAGCTTGGGGGTTCTGGAGACTGACGAGGTCCAAACTGATCCGGATTGCTGCAGGAGAGGCCGAGTCCGGCGAGGGGCTGCAGCGACAGGTGGGTGGTGAGTCCGTTGAGCGAAGAGACGTGGTCAATGATCAATCAAAGATCGTGGACAGAAAATATAATCTATGGGACGTGATTCGTGACAGCCGTAATGTGCTGAACATTTTATGAATTGTTGAAATAGCACGAAATGTACGGAATGAGTTACACACTGGGAAAAGAAATGTAAGGAATTGTTAAATAGTGTGAATGCTTGATATTCACACGATAAAGAGAAACAAGGAAAGGACACGGTGATGCTTGATATGCATTCACACAATAATGCATTCTAAAGAGAGAACATAAATGGTCACAAGTGGAAAGCATTTAAGACTGGGTGTGATGTGCCTCCATGTTGCCAAATGTTTCCTCCGCCACCTTCAAGACTGATGACGGTCTGATCTACCTGGACAAAGACCCCCCCAAGACACCATGCACGTTTTATTTTCAGTCAACCTTTATTCATACAGGTTAGTCTCAATGAGTGGCGAGGACTCGTTTTCAAGAGAGACCCGTTTTAAACAAAACCGCATATAAAAAAAGGTACACAACAATAAACTGCCATAAAGTGAATATAAAATAAAAAGTAAATTATCAAGCTACATTATGAAATGAGGTAAGTAAATGAGGTTCTTAAACACCGGCCCACTATTTACCTGATAAAGATGTTTTTGTTTTTTTTGTTCACCGTACAAAGAAACCAGAAAATCACCAGTTCATATTTTTGTTTTTCCAAGTCAAACAATTGTCTGGAGTTTTGTCATTTTTAAACTTAAAGAGACAATTTTATTGTAACTTGTTGAATATTGAAGTATCACTAAAATGTTGAAGTGGACTTGGTTACTTTAATGCTTTAACAAATACTTAATATTCATAGAATGCTTTAATATGTTTTAAGAAAGTATCTTTAAAAATCCAGAGACAATCATTATGCGTGTTTTCCAACAGAAAATATGACTTTATATCACTACTTCTAATAATGAAAATACTTTCCTACGTAATGAGTAAAAAAGACTGACCAAGACAAAATAATTGTTCTGTATTCATCAAATAGAGTAAAAATGGTTGTATCACAAAGACCTACAGGGAGGCAGTTCTTTGATTTGGCCATGAAGTCCTAAAATCAACGCTCGTTTTGTAAATTATACCCAAAAAACATGAAGAAACGGCTTGGATGAAGCTTCTTTTCAAGGATAAAATTTAATTATCACCCACCAGTTTGAACACACAGTTCCACACAGTCACAAGTTGGTCCAATGAAACAAAGTTCAAAGCAAATTATTATGAGCATTTGAGCTGTGATGCTGCTCAGATTAAATCCATAATATACATTCAAACCAGAATACTGTAAATATTTGAAGACATAGTTTTAAAACTATGCAAGATTAATTCATATTTGTTTCTGTTGGAAAGATGTTGAACCCACAAAAACCTTCAGAAATGGACAAAACTGAACACTAATGTATTTCATAAGAATCATCCTTGATTTTTTTTGTTTGTGTTTTCGGTTTTCATTTTCTCTCTACTAACCAAACTACACTAGATGTATTTCTTTTTCAACTTTGGTGCCTTGTTTTTAGTATTGTAGTAGTACTTTTTAACTGTGATTTTAGTATTTTAGCAGTATTTTAGTATTTTTGCTGCATGCTTTGGTATTTCTTCTTGTTGTTGGGGTTTTTGGCGAGTCGAGACGGTTCTTCCCGTCCTGAGCATTTTATTACATTGTTGACCTTGTGTTGATTTTCATATGACAAATAAACCAAACCTGAACCTTCTGTGGGTGTCTGTCTCACTTGTATTTATTTTTTTATGTACAAAAGCAAAGGTTGATTATTAAGCTATAATGAAAAGCAATAAAGACTACCCCCAGCTGCCTGTCATACCAGATTTTTAGATCATTTTGTAAATTTTAATTTTCCTGGAGTCGGTCAAGTTGTAATCATCATCAGTTTATGTGACGTGTTTCTTGATGATTCAGTGTCTTGCACAGTTTAAAGTGAACAAGATTGATCCTGCACAACTAACAGGATTAATCATTATGGAAGAGAGCGCAGCCACAAAATAAAGAGCCAAACTCAATCATACAAATCAAGTTAAATCATAAGTAGACCCAGTGGCTTTTCTTCTTATTTACAGATTATATTGTTGCTAAACAGCAAAAGCAATTCACAGAGGTAAACGTGTCAAATGATCTTTTTTTTTTTTCTTGTTTCTGAAGAATGTGATCATCAAGAAACCTCTCAAACACCACATTTCAAGCAAGCGTCCTAACGAAGCACGTCAAGATGTTTTTCTTTAAACAGATCAAGTGAGACCAGAAGGTTTATCACAAATCATTGACAGTTTTTAAATTATTCTTATGGCAATTATTAATGCAAAACTCAGGATAATGATTTGTCTTTGTGAGCTTTTAGTGATTTGCTCATCACACATCAGCTCTCTTGAAGCAGCGGTCTTACTCAGATGGTCTCACTACTGTTGATTTTCTGTGGTTCTGATTAGAGCAGGCATAATGTTTCCTTCTCAGCTTTTGCATCCAGCAGATGGAGACCCTTTGCAGTTTCTGGTGTGAATGTCAGCCCACACCACCCAGCAGTAGTTTACAGTGTAGTATGACATATCCTGAGATATATTCATACAGTTAAAACGTGTTCTTTCATTTTTCTGGACTGTGTAACATACGTGCGTTGAATGTAATAAAAATGTGGACGTGAGACGTTAATTATCTTTGACTCACCAAGCGAGTGGGTCATTTATTAACAGAATCAAGTTTAACACATCACACATTTACATTAATTGGCAAGAATTGGAAAATAACGACATAATTAATCAGCTTTACAACCAGGAAAACCATACGGCCATGATTTTCCGTTGCTTCACCACAGACATGTCTGAAAACATCTGGATTAATTTGCTAGCAGATAGGAGAGTTTAAAGATGGAAAGATGAAGTTTATCTGAGAGAGATGTGTGAGGGAATTTGTCTGTTTTAACCAGAACAGCACGCTCCTTCTTTTCCAGCTTGGGCCAATGGTACGCTTGGTCGAAATAGAACTTTTACCTTGCAGATGATAGCTTCAGCGTCGGTGTAGAGCTCTCCTTTCAACTCTTTCAGCGTCTCCGTGGGGACAGCTCGAACCTCGAGAGTCGTGTGAGGTTATCCAAACAGAAGTTATAATTCCCAAAATCGTCTCTGGTTCAGCTTGATTCTAATTCAGCAGCATCCTGAATGCCCGCGTTCTGCATTCAGGAACTCCCAAACTCTCTGCATTCCGAATTCCAAAAAACTCTCTGCTTGAACTGCTACTCCATCTTCAAGACTGAGCTTACAGCAGCTTCAAGACTGAGCTGAACTCTTCTGTGAACTCTATCGTTGAACTAGGAAGTGCCAACATTTTTATGGGCTCTACTTCCGGTTCATTTGAGAGCTTTTTGATTGGTCGATGGACCAAAGCAGAGGTGTGGTTTGTGATGTAAGGTGTTATTAAAAGTCAAGGAAAAGAGTAAGATTGTTTAAGAACAGACGGAAAGATATCATGGAAAAACCAGACTTCGTGGCGTCTCCTCTCCCAGTATCTCGCTGTAAAAGTTAAACATGACATTTCTTTTCAGTAAACTTTCAGTTGACCGAAACTTGAACTTTGACACACTTACAAATTTGCTCACTTCAAAGCAGACGATCAAGAAATTGAATCATTACTCTGTAACGTACTCTAACTTGATTTCACTTTGAATTGAGGAATAAAAATCATTATTACTGTTTTAAGTAAATAAAATGAGTAGTTCACTTCAACATGTAAACATTGTTTGAACTACCACAATTTGATTATCAAAACATTTGTAAAATAGTAATGATCATAGAGAATTGTCTTTTTCCACTTGATTAATTCAAGAAAGAAAGTCTCAGGATCGATCAACCTGTATTTCTGGATGCAAATCAATGAAATGACAGTTTCTGACCATATGATCCTAAGGTCAAGTTTTGACATCAGGTCAAGTTCACTACAACAGTGGTGCTTGAAAGTTTGTGAACTCTAGCATTTTCTATATTTCTGCATAAATATTGACCTAAAACATCATCAGGTCTTCACACAAGTCCTAAAGAGAACCCAAATGAAACAAAAATATTATACTTGGTGATTATTTTTTTTAATTTACCCTTTATTTATACAGGTAGGCTCATTGAGTCACAAGAACTCATTTTCAAGAGATTTATTTATTGATATTCTTTATTTATTTAAGATTTATTTATTGAGGAAAATTATCCATTATTACATATTTGTGAGTGGCAAAATTATGTGAACCTTTGCTTTCAGTACCTGGTGTGATAATATGTCAACTCCTTCACTGCCCACCTGTAAAAAATAAAATCATTGTTGGTAAATGTAGCACTCTGGAACTGGATTATGAAGGAGAATAATGTTTTATGGAGGCCTAATAAAACCAAAGTTTTATTTCCTGGAATCATCCCAGCTGATAAAACCTAGAAAGTCCTTTCTCTGTGTAACTTATGAAACAATCGATTCATAACAAATGAACCTTCACCTGAAATAAAGATAAGAGAACAATAAATGTACATTCAGGAATACTTAGTTAATATTTAGACAGAGATGAATTCAGCAAATCTAAGTTTTTCTTAAATTTGCTGTGCTGGTTAAGAATTTACTTTTGTTATTTTTAACATACCACCACAGGAATTTGTTCTGTTAACTGGAATTCTTCGTTTAATTTTTGAAATTTCCAGTTTATCTAACTACGGACCTTAAGGGATCATTTTCACCAGAAAAACAACTTGCAGTCATGATGATTAGAGTTAGATGGTAAGGTAGAAGATGATGGATGGATGGATGGATGGATGGATGGATGGATGGATGGATGGAT